CTTACGGGCAGGAAGTGAGCCCATTTCCCCTCGCCACATCAATCTCCTTCCTTCGGGATCCATTTCCCTTGCACTGGTCCCAGTGTGGTGTCGTAGTACTCCAGCGCCTTCTTGTAAGTGAGTCTCTGCCTTGGCCAGGAAAGCTAACTTCGCATGGTATCAGTGGGCGGGAAAATTTGCCGTAAAGCCTCGCTATGTAAATCTGGTGAGATCACGTTAAGGGACGGCCGTTTCGTTCGGATAAAACATAGGGAAGTTATCACTGGATCCGGAGGAGATCACAGAAGTTTCTCAAAACTCTGGATAGCTGCAAAACACAAGTGTTGATCTTCTTCCAGTTCTGTTGTTCAGGAGTAGCCTCTCAGCTATGGAGTCTGAGGGAAAAAACCATTGTTGTTCTTCACTTCCCCCAAACTCAAACCTTCAACTGTCTACACAATGAAAACAAACAAAAATGTGAGCTGCAAAAATTGGGAGCTAAGTACTTTTTTAGGAAGTTTTGATGAGAGAGCTTTTTGACAAAATCCCACAATTTCATTGCAAAAGATAATATAAAAACAGAAACAGAAACCGACAAACTGTTTAGTACACACTACTGAATAAAACAAAGCTCATTAAACGTAACGAAACAAGTCATTTGTCATTAAATTTCTTTGTCTTATAGGAAAACTGCTATTCGAGAAGCAATTTTAAAAATTGGGCTAAAAGCTCTGTGCATACAGTTACAACACTTAGTACCAGCTAACATGTTATATTGTATGATACTGTGTTTAGTGCCGGAAAAACATGATCAGGTAACCAGTTTTCATGGGCCTGTTATCACCAGCTTCAAGTAAATCAAATATTTCATTATTGGGAGCGAACATTTTTTTAAAGAATATAATCCTTCGAGAATGTTCATTTATTTTTTTAACAATAAATTATGCAATTTAAAAGAAGAGTAGGAACTATATTTTTGTGCTACAGTAACAGTGACAGTCAACAGTACACAGTGCACCTTTAACAGTACACAGTTACACAGTACAAGTACACAGTAATAGTACAAAGTACACAGTGCACAGTACACAGTACACAGTACACGTACACTACACAGTACACAGTACCCAGTGCACAGTACACAGTACACAGTATACAGTGCACAGTGCCACCCCAGTACACAGTACACAGTGCACAGTAAACAGTACACAGTACATATACCCCCCCTCAAGTACAGACACCCGATAAACACAGTACACAAGTGCTCAGGACACAGTACACAGTACACAGTACACAGTACACACAGACACAGTTTCCCACAGTACACAGTACACCATGTACCACAGTACAGTGTCGAGTCCTAATTAGTAGACGTAAACAACAGTGTTAGAACTAAAGGAAATGTAGCCGGAGCTCAAATATTCGAAATGTTTTATAGGATATAGGCACGGGCTCATAATTGAAAAACTGTCTCGCGGCTAGCTCTAAAGCTCACTTTGCTTGCCCAATACCGGCAATTCTACTCGGATAATGTGCCAGGTTTTATGAGGACAGATTATGGTTATATAATTATCTGCAGTATTATACTATACAAGATCTGTTCAATCAGTGATTGTGAGGGATTATTGGCATAATTTAAATTACAGCACGTAAATTACAGTGGCAAGCAATAACACACACAAGACAGATTACACACATATGCAAATTTATTATCATTATTAGATCTAATAAGGATGATCTCCGAGCAGAGCACTCATTAAAATATGAATTTAAAGGAGGCCGATTGCTAATAATCAAGCCCAGGAAGGAGAGAGAACAAGGTGTAGGTTTTGATGGAAAAACTAGTGGTGAGAGGTGACTGGTGAGAGAGAGGGTTCAGAGTCTGAGCAGTCACGATGTTTGTGAGCGGCACGTGCCTTGTGGAGTACTTAAGCTGCATGTGGTTTTTAGCGGGTACGTGATTAATTGGAGTTTAGGTGTGGCGTGGGCTTACAGGGTTCTGAATTAAGGGAGGATGCTGGTTAGGGTTACGTGACTGAGTTAATGAAAGATACTTCTGGAGTGGGTCACGAGGTCACGTGACTGCTCTTCGAGGTCACGTGACGCTCTACGAGGTCACGTGACTTGCTCACGCGGTCACGTGGGAATGCTTACGAGGTCACGTGACTGCTCTACGAGTCCACGTGACTGCTCCCTCGAGGTCACGTGACTGCTTTTTACGAGGGTCCGTGACTGCTCTACGAGGGGGGTTATACCAAAACAGAAGCTCAGAAAGTATATCGGGGAATTACATCATGAAATGGGGCTGAAACACGCTGGCCAATACCTAGATATCTTTTATTAGGAATATTAACGAATCGTGACAAGGGCTAAGTAGGAACATTATGGGATGGGATTTAGTATCAAAGCAAAAACTCAGATGGTTGTCTGGTGAGCTTCTGAGCTTGGTATGCGAAAGAAAATGGACAAAAAAAATTTACAGATGAAGGATACAAATTATGCGATGTATATTATGTAAACTTAATGTATACTTAATAACTATTGATTCCATGTAAATTAAAAAGCAAGTAATGATTAAAAAGTTTTTATGAGAGGATTTTCTGGACAAATCCCTCGACCACCCATAAAGGGAGAAATATGAAGCAGTAAACATTTACAACAACGTGTTATTTAGACTTCCAAGTAAAACGGACTAAATTTCCGGTCAAGTGACCACAAAACCTTCCTTTCCCCTGAATAACCCCCTTATAATAAAACTAATTACCCACTAAATCGCCTAATTACCTAATTACCCCAGGGTCCTACCTGACTGAAGTGCAGGGATGTTGGAGTGGAGATTACTAGCTCAGTAAGAGTGTAAACCCCCCTTTACAAACCCTAATACTACTAAATTACTACCACTTACTTACTTCTACTACTACTACTAAGTACCCCTAATTACCTAATTAACCCAGGGTCTACCTGACGGAAGTGCTGGATGTTGGTGGAAGGAGGACTAGCTCGGTGAGCGTGTCAATGGTTCTTCTTGTGCATTTTACACTGTCTGGTCTCATCCTTGTCGTACACTGCTAGGTTTCTTGTACATTTAGAGGACAGGTCCTGAAATATGAGGGGTATTGAAAGAGAGTGAGGGGTGTGGGGGGTTATGTGGGGTAGTGAGGGTTGTTAATTGGCGGGGGGGGTACAGGGGGGGCATTTATTGAGGAATAAATGGGCATCATTTTTCCGGGCAAAATCGAAAAACATAAGTAAAATTTATATTTTACTAATCAGAGGACGGCGAACACGAAGGTGATAATCGGATTTTGATCATAAAAATTCAAGATTTAGCGATGCCCCATTGCCCATTTGAGGAATAAAATATGCATCGGGGTGGCGTAATTACGGGGGCGTTAACTAGTGACGTACATTTTTAATAATGATGAGGTGTGTCATGTGTATTAGACGGCGAAATTGTAAGACAAAATGTGTATTATATCGGTGAGGGTTATTGAAACTTGAGGCATTGTGAAATGTAGGGATATACAGTCAGAACTCTTACAAAAAACAGCAGTTGCACTGTTCTAAATGGGAGGCCATTTCATTGCCCACATCGCGTTTAAAGCTAATACAACAATATGATACTAGGCAATACTTCGTGGACAGGTATTCTCTGGAAGTTAGTTAAGAGTAGTCACTGGTTTCGCGAGAAATTGTAAAATCTGACATAAACTGTACTTTCAACGCGGAGAATCATAGCTTAATTTATACTTCATAAGTAGGCTAAATCTCGTTCGTACCTGGGAAGGTTGTAAATCTAAAAACAGAGATAAGGGGAATATGACTGAAATTTAATAATATTAGATCATAGCCTTGAACATAAGTTTCCGGCGATTGCGAAAACATTTCTAAAAAATCGCGCTGTAACCTATTATAACAGTGTTACCTGTTACTACAGCACAAGAACGCAAAGGTAAAAGCTCGTAAATAATGAAAGTGAGGCCGGCCAAGTTTCAAACGAACAAAATGTCAAGGGACCAAAAATGAAAATACAATCATCCATCAAACATGGGAAACTTCTCATTAAATAAAAAACTAGAAAAACTTATGAGAAGTTTCCCATGTTTGATGGATTGATTGTATTTTCATTTTGTCTTGACAGTTTGTTCGTTGAAAAGTTGGCCGGCCTCACTTTTCATTTATTTTACTAGCTTTTACCTTTGCGTTCTTGAGCTGTAGTACAGGTACTACTGTTATAATAGGTACACAATTTTTAGAATTTTTCGCAATCGCCGGAAACTTATGTTCAAAGGCTATGATCTAATTATTAGTTAAATTTCAGTCATATTCCTTATCTCTGTTTTTAGATTTACAACCCTTCCCAGGTACGACGAGATTTAGGCTAATTATGAAGTATAAATTAAGCTATGATTCTCGCGTGAAATTAACAATTTATGTCGATTTACAATTTCTCGCGAAACCAGTGACTACGCTAACGTACTTCCAGAGAATACCTGTCCACGAAGTATTGCCTAGTAGTCAGTATTGTGTATTAGCTTTAAACTCGATGTGGGCAATGAACTGGCCTCGCCAATTAGAACAGTGCAACTGCTGTTTTGTTGTAAGAGTTCTGACTGTATATCCCTACATTTCACAATGCCTCAGTTCAATAACCCTCACCGATATAATACACAATTTGTCTACAATTTCTCGTCTAATACACATGACATCACCTCATCATTATTAAAATGGTACGTCACTAGTTAACGCCCCGTAATTACGCCACCCCGATGCATATTTATTCCTCAAATGGGCATGGGCATCGCTAAATCTTGATTTATGATCAAAATCGATATCACCTTCGTGTTCGCCGTCCTCTGATTAGTAAATATAATTTACTATGTTTTTCGATTTTGCCCGGAAAATGATGCCCATTTATTCCTCAATAAATGCCCCCCTGTACCCCCCCGCCAATTAACAACCCTCACTACCCCACATAACCCCCCACTACCCCTCACTGCTCTTCAATACCCCTCATATTTCAGGACCTGTCTCTAATGTACAAGAACCTAGCAGTGTACGACAAGGATGAGACCAGACAGTGTAAAATGCACAAGAGACGCATTGACACGCTCACCGAGCTAGTCTCTCCACTCAACATCCAGCACTTCCGTCAGGTAGGACCCTGGGGTAATTAGGTAATTAGGGGGTAATTAGTAGTAGTAGTAGTAGTAGTAGTGGTAGTAGTAGTAGTATTAGGTTGTTATAAGGGGGTCTACACTCTTACTGAGCTAGTATCTCCACTCAACATCCAGCACTTCCGTCAGGTAGGACCCTGGGGTAATTAGGTAATTAGGCGATTAGGGGGTAATTAGGTTATTATAAGGGGGTTATCAGGGGAAAGGAAGGTTTGTGGTCACTTGACTCGGGAGATATAGTCGTTACTTGGAAGGTCTAAATAACACGTTGTTGTAATTGTTACTGCATCATATTCTCTCTTTATGGGTGTCGAGGGATTTGTCCAGAAAATCCTCTCATAAAAGCTTTTAATCATTACTGCTTTTTAATTTACATGGATCTAATAGTTATTAATTATACATAATTATACATAATAATACATCGCATAAATTTGTATCCTTCATCTTGTAAATGGTTTTGTCCATTTTCTTTCGCATACCAAGCTCAGAAGCTCACAGACAACCATCTGGAGTTTTTGCTTTTGATACTAATCCCATCCCATAATGTTCTACTTAGACCTTTTAACGATTCTTTAATATTCTAATAATAGATATGCCTAGGTATTGCCCGCGTGTTCAGCCCCATTTCATGATTACTTCCCCGATATTACTTCTGAGCTTCTGTTTTGGTATAACCGTCCCTCGTAGAGCAGTCACGGGACCTCGTAGAGCAGTCACGTGACCTCGTGGAGCAGTCACGTGACCTCGTAGAGCAGTCACGTGACCTCGTAGAGCAGTCACGTGACCTCGTGGAGCAGTCACGTGACCTCGTAGAGCAGTCACGTGACCTCGTAGAGCAGTCACGTGACCTCGTGACTCCAGAGTAACTTTCATTAACTCAGTCACGTAACCCTAACCATCATCCTCCCTTATTTCATAACCCTGTAACCCTAAACTCTCAGATTAATCACGTAACCGCTCAAAAACCACATGACAGCTTAAGTACTCACAAGGCACGTGACCGCTCACAAATCACGTGACTGCTCAGCTCTGAACTCTCTCTCACCAGTCACCTCTCACCACTAGTTTCCATCAAAACTACACCTTGTTCTCTCTCCTTCCTGGGCTTGATATTACAAACTGGCCTCCTTTAATTTCATATTATATGAGTGCTCTGCTCGGAGATCATCATTATTAGATCTAATAATGATAATAATACTTATGTGTGTATCTGTCTGTGTGTGTTATTGCTTGCCACTGTAATTTACGTGCTGTATTTTAAATTATGCCAATAATCCCTCACAATCACTGATGAGACAGATCCTTTGTATTGTATATACAGTAGATATATAATATAACCATATCTGTCTCATAAAACCTGGCACATTATCCGAGTATGTATTGCGGTATTGGCAAGCAAAGTGAGGCTTTTAGAGCTATCCGCGAGACAGTCAATAATGAGCCCGTGCCTATATTCCTATAAAACATTCGAATATTTGAGCTCCTGCTACATTTCCTTTAGTTCTAACACTGTTGTTACTGTCTACTAATAGGACTCGACTACTGTGTACTGTGTACTGTGTACTGTGTACTGTGTACTGTGTACTGTGTACTGTGTACTGTGTACTGTGTACTGTGTACTGTGCACTGTGTACTGTGTACTATGTACTGTGTACTGTGTACTGTGCACTGTGTACTGTGTACTGTGCACTGTGCACTGTGTACTGTGTACTGTGTACTGTGCACTGTGTACTGTGTACTGTGTACTGTGTACTGTGTACTGTGTACTGTGTACTGTGCACTGTGTACTATGTACTATGTACTGTGTACTGTGTACTGTGTACTGTGTACTGTGTACTGTGCACTGTGTACTGTGTACTGTGCACTGTGTACTGTGTAGCACAAATATATAGTCTACTCTTCTTTTAAATTGCATAATTTATTGTTAAAAAAATAAATGAACATTCATCGAAGGATTCTATTCTTTAAAAAAATGTTCGCTCCCAATAATGAATATTTGATTTACCTTGAAGCTGGTGATAACAGTCATGAAAACTGTTACCTGATCATGGTTTCCGGCACTAAACACAGTACATACAATATAACTTGTTGTAGCTGTACTATAGTGTTGTAACTGTAGTGCACAGAGCTATTAGCCATTTAAAATTGCTCTCTAATAGCAGTTTCCTATACAGACAAATGAAAAGTTAATGACTAAATGAGCTTTGTTTCGGTTACGTTAATGAGCTTTGTTTCAGTAGTGTTACTAACAGTTTGTCTGTTTCTGTTTCTGTTTTATATTATCTTTTGCATGAAATGTGGGATTTTGTCAAAAAGCTCTCTCATCAAAACTTCTAAAAAAGTACTTAGCTCCCCAATTTGCAGCTCACATTTTGTTTGTTTCAGTTGTGTAGACAGTTGAGGTTTGAGTTGGGGGAAGTGAAGAACACAATGGTTTCCCTCAAGTACTCCATAGCTGCAGAGCTACCTCCTGACCAACAGAACTGGAAGAAGATCAACAACTTGTGTTTTGGAGCTATCCAGGAGTTTGAGAACTTCTGTGATCTCCTCCGGGATCCAAGTGATAACTTCCCTGATGTTTTATCCGACGAAACGGTCCGTCCCTACGTGATCTCACAGATTTACATAGCGAGGCTTTACGGCAAGTTCCGGCCCACTGATACCATGCAGAAGTTAGCTTTCCTGGCCAAGGCAGAGACTCACTTCAAGAAGGCGCTGGAGTACTACGACTCACACTGGGACCAGTGCAAGGGAATGGATCTGAAGGAGGAGATTGATGTGGCGAGGGAAATGGCTCACTTCCTGCCCCGTAAGATGGAGAAGATCAGGGCCATAGCATGAAGAAGTGCAGAGAAGTGAAATAACCGTGCTGGTCACGTGTCCGCAGGTCTTTAAGTGACCTTGATTTGTTAATTAATTAATTGATTAATTACCGTTTCGTGGAGAGAATTGGATGAGCATTATATGCAGATGACACACTGCGCCTTACTTTTCAATTAACTCAGTTGATTGGTCAAACAATGGCTATGACGTTGTTGTGATGTTGTTGTGACGTTGCTGTGACGTTGCTGTGACGTTGCTGTGACGTTGCTGTGACGTTGCTATGACGTTGCTGTGACGTTGCTGTGACGTTGCTGTGACGTTGCTGTGACGTTGCTGTGACGTTGCTGTGACGTTTATGTGACGTTGCTGTGACGTTGCGGTGACGTTTATGTGACGTTGCTGTGTGTCACTAAGACTCTGTAATTTGTTTGCTTATATCTCGATAATTATCTAATTAACGATTAAGTAAAATGTAACAATCGATTTAAAGAAAACACAAATTATAACTTGATTAAGATATTTGAACGTTCACATTATGACAAAATTTGTAGTATTTATGAAGAAATTGCTCGGTGATTATTGATTAATTAGTTATTTAACTAATTATAAATATTATTATGTATATTTGACCTCTTTAGTTTTTGATAATTTGAGTATTATTAGTTTATTACGTTTGTATTTAGTAGTTTGCGAAAATTGAATTTAATCAGTTCAGAGAGTATTTAAATTTAATTTCTATTAAAATTTAGAATTATTAATGATTAAGATAATAGTCATGAGAAACTATGACTTACCTTAATCGATGATTATATTTTGATTAATTAAGAGCGCGATTTCTATTTTTACGTTATTTTCTCTGAAGTACGCTTTTCTTGGCTGAGGTTGTAGTTGATCATTGTGCAGGGAATTGAACCAACAGATTTAGTAAAGAATGATAATAATTATAATATTCGCGTGCATATTTTGACTTCTGTGCGATTCTCACGTCAGTACCCCAGTAATACCTTGCTGCAAGTTACCACACTACTCAACATACTTTTACAGCTGAGTAATGAGTATTCCTATTTCACCTCTGCCATATTTGCAATTTGTTCAGCTCTGTGGTCACATGAAACTGTCTCGTCCACTGATTGGTAGCTAGGTAGCACATGACAACCTTTTGTGGTTTTTTGACGTTCTAGAGAAAACTCCATCAACACAAACTCTCCTTTTCTGCGGAAATCTTAACTGATTAGTTACCAGGAGTGTGACCACTAAAGTGACTAATGTTATAGTTCACAATAATTGCTAGGACCACGCCCGCATACAGTATGTGTGAGCTTGATGAGTCATCGGAACCCATTATTGAGCAGCTGTAGCTAGATCACCTCTGCAGCTGTAAGTAGAACACCGCAGTTCTGCTGTGGAATGCACGAAATTGCGCCACATCTCGTCAGGAATGTAGAAATGATAGCTCACTTCTGTTGTTGTGCAGTGTAACTGTTAACAATTCAATGTTATCGTCTGTTTTGATGATCGCCCTGCTTTGTGGTCCACATAAATATTATCCTGGTTTATAATATGGCCGGGTTACACTAGTAGACATGTTATTATTGTTATGTGACACGTTCTTGAACTGTATATTGATATTCGTACGTGTATGATCTGATAAAATGCACTGCCAGTACATAATACAGGGAATACAACGGAATGCTTGCGGAGTAAGTGACGTTACAACGGAATGTCTATGATAACCACCAGATTGAATTGATTTCGAGCCGTGATCTCGTGATGCTGATGTTTATTGTTGCTGTCCTTTACCCTCTGTCTCTCTTTCTGCCTTTTTCTTACACACGTAATATTACTGAAGGTCAAGTAAAAGAGATGATTGTATACTATATTGTTGATTGTTGATATTGATGGTGTTGATTGTTGATATTGATTGCTGCATGTCATCCTTCAGTCCCTTCAGTCTTCATCTTAAAAACAAGGCCCCTCATTTGCTAGCGTGATGTATTGTCTTGTGTATTACACGCACCGTTCTTTAACAAACGTTTCTTTTACTTTTGGTTCAAATCCCCTGAAATAACAATGATGAACTTCAGCACGCCATGATGTGTGCCGTGGGTCCGATTTAGGCTACTCTAAATGCCATTAAAATATCAGTTTTAAAAGAATAGGTTATTACAGAGGTCCTTTCTGAAATCCTCCCCAGTCTTTACTCTCTCCAACTAAATACTTTACATTTTTGTTAGTTATATAAGCTACTAACTATGCGCCGTGTTGTTATATAGTAGAACTAAGGACTCATCACTGCATTAGTTTTCTGGATCTATGCGGTTTGTGACGATCTGGTTGCGTACTGATGAGGAGATGAACCATATCTGACGCGTGACAGTGATCAACCAGTGATTAACCAGTGATTAACCAGTGATTAACCAGTGATTAACCAGTGATTAACCAGTGATTAACCAGTGATTAACCAACTAGCTTTCAGCAGTTACCATAGTTACCAATCAAAACCAGGAACCACTATCACGTGTCAAAATATGGTTCACCTCCTCCCCTCGAGATCTATTGTTGAACATTTATACATGATGCGTATTGTACTATATTGTGATATTGTGAAGTTTAAATGTATATGATGTTCGTTTCACTGCTTGACATTTTATAATAGTTTGAGTATTGTGTTTGTGTCACACTTTCATGTATTACGTTGCTTTCAATCTCAGAGAAATTTGTAATTATCTGTTGCCGAATTACCCATTATATAATTGTCCCGTTGATTTATCTGATCATACTATGTACATGGTGTACCGCATAAAGTGTGACTTAAATTAAGCATGATTAAGGAGCGTCAACTTTACGGATAAATTATCCCAAGAAAATATTGACGCCGGCACACAACGTCTACACATCATACAAATTACATATAATACAAATTACATTATCATACAAATTAGGGGTCGTTCACATATTACGTAATCATTTTTTGGAACATTTTTACGCCCCCCCCCTCCCCTCCGTAATCGGTTTTACACATAGCTATTGTGTCAAAATTACACTAGCGTAATCATTCGGAAACCCCCCCCCCCCCCTTATGCATTTATCTACATTGCGAGGCGGGATCTCAAAAGTCACATACAATGTAATAACACGCTCTCTCAGTGAAACTAACCGTTATATTTTGTAGAAGCAGCAAGCTCAGCCATGTAACAGATCCTGTAAGATTGTTATGAGGTATTCAGATATAAAGCACGTGACCAGCTGTGACCACGTGACCAGCTGTGACCACGTGGCCAGCAGTGACCACGTGGCCAGCAGTGACCACGGGACCAGCAGTGACCACGTGACCAGCTGTGATTCCGAGGGAGAGGAGCAGCAGACCTCCGCTGTACCGCTTGTAGCTGTTTGTTCACCTGTTCGCGAGGGAGATGAGCAGCAGACCTCCGCGGTACCGCTTGTAGCTGTTTGTTCACCTGTTCGCGAGGGAGATGAGCAGCAGACCTCCGCGGTACCGCTTGTAGCTGTTTGTTCACCTGTTCGCCAAACTTACCCTGAAACTTCGCTCCCTTCTGATTGGAATACTGGGCCTGTTGTGTATGAATCAGCGCCCACTGCGCACGAATCAGCGCCCCCTGTATATCAGTCCACACCTCCAGTTACTGGGTGTGATCTGTCCCACTACCCCACCATACCACCTCCAGTTTACCCTCTTCCACCTAACGAATCATGCTACACATCAGTAACACTAGCACCCGCTTCAGATATAAACCAGTTCTCAATGTTATCCGACACAGACAGCACAGTATCCACCACCCCTGATATCATGTGTCGGATTTGTAGATCTGAACCTGGCTCTGAGAAGATAATATCTCCCTGTTACTGTGCTGGTTCTCTACAGTATGTTCATCAGAGTTGCCTCCTGAAATGGCTTAAAGCGTACGACTGTGTCAACAAGCATCACTGTGAGCTGTGTACGTACGAGTTTAAACTGAAGCCTAAGCCGTGGATGGAGTGGCGTATGCCGGCGCTGTCGGTGACAGAGCAACGCCGCGCCACCTGTCTCGTTGTCATATGTGTCCTGGCTGTGCTCATAGTGTTGTGGTCTATTAACGACCTTGTTCAGAACATTCAGGTTACCAATATATACATGAACTGGGGATTCTGGACCAAGTTATTGTTCATTGTGTTCGGCTTGTTCATCCTGGCATTCCAGTACCCCACACTAAAGTACTTCTATTTGAAGCTGCGGGAAAGTAATCAGATAGTGTTGTGGGGGGAGGAAGGGGAGGAGCAGGAGTTGCTGGAGACTGGTAAACTTAACGAGTCAGCAGCCACGCAGTGTGAGAAGTGAGGCCCTTACTGCTTTCACTCTGCAGAGAAGTGAGGGGGGACACGCCCCTCTCTTACAAGTTAGGGGTCAACACGCCCCTCTCTCACACTCTACAAGTGAGACAGGCTCGCTATTCTCTCTAACTGTGGGACACTCATCCTCACACAAGTTAAACACTTGAGACACAAGTGAGACGACATGATGTGATCATGTTTGATTTAAGGTTTGTTGCTGACCATGGTGAAGAGATATCGTGGTCATGGTGGTAGCACTGGTCAGTGAACAGATAAAATGGTTTGTCAGAAAAATTAATGTTATTTGTGTGCGATTGCCAGCAGATGATGCCCTCTGGGTGGATGAACAACGACAGTTTTCTTAGAGGGATTTGTGTTGTTGTTATCTGTTTTTGAGGCTGTTATGGCGGCTTATATTTGATTGTAGATCAATGATGAATGGTTTTTGGAAAACCTGTATTTTGAGATGGTGCTTAAAAAAGAAATGTTTACAGTCGCTCATGGAGCGTTATAATTTTGATTATTTTGCCACAAGCTTTTTAATTGGAACAAGAAAACCCGTTTAAATATGATTTTCAAACAAGATTTAACGAACTGCACTTTTTATTGCTAAATAACTTTAAAATCTTGAAAAGTTTGTAAGGAAAGGAATTTAACTTCAATATCAACTATTGGAAATCTACTCCAAAAAAGATTTGATGACTATGATAATATTATAATTCCAATTATTGTTATTTTCTTTTTATTTTACTACAAAGTAACATTGGTTTAAACAGGAAAGGACAGAACTATTTGATTTGTGCATAGATTGTACATTATATCACCAATAATAGATGGGTTAGCGTTTCTACCATTTTGAGAGCATTTTATTTTCAAGTTTTCTTCTCTTGAGGCAAAAAGCACTGTTTTTAATCAACAATTATAGTTTATAAGCGTAAGCTCGGCCCCTAAAGTTGCATGCTCTGTGAATCCTATAAATTAGTGAGGATTAAGGGGAGATACACCAAAAACTAAAAGATTAGTCTTTTCAAGCTGATTACGATTCTGTAAAAATTATTTCGAAAAAAACTGACACTTTTTGAGTTATAGGCATTTTAAGCCTTAAATCTGCCATGTTTAGCCCTTTTTTACGATGAATTTTACTAAGTCGTTTGAGGCCATATTTCATACCTTAAAACTCAAAACTGAGAGAAATCCTGTTCCAAAAAGTTTGATATTATCATCAACTACACTCACAAGAATTTTTGAAGCGATATCTGATGACCTGGGCGAGTGGTAAAATGTACAACTTTGGTGGTAGGCAAAAATCCCAATTTTTCTTTTTTCACCTTGTTCGGTCTGTAACTTGGTCATTTATTGTTCAATGAAATAATCCTTTAAAGGGTTGTCTTGTACGGAGTGTAAGTGATCTTCAGTAAAAAAATCAGCCAAAAAACTTTTAAAATGGCCGAACTATCGATATTACAGTGACAGACTTCTCCAAATTTTAAAAATTTTCGAAAAAGAAAAATTTTTTTTTTCTCGATGAGGGAATATTTTTAGAAAATTTTGAAGGTGTGCAATCTTATTCTTTTTGTCTATTTAACCATAATATAAAATAAAATCGATGTTCGGAGCAAAAACGTTTTTGGTGTATCTCCCCTTAAAGTTTTATGTTTCATTCATGATTGTGTGATGCGTTAAGTAATTCACTTCATACACCTACAGTTTTACCTTTGTTTACTTGGTCAAAAAACACACCATTGGAGGTGGTATATATGTTGCATAACATGAAGTGATCACAATTAACCTTGAAATCTATACTGAAGTATTCTTGATCCAACAAAGTTCTATGAAAATGTACAAGCTATTATTCAATAGCTTATAATATGATTGGTATGAAGCTAGATGATATGTACATAATTATTACAACTAAAATATGTGTTCTCTTAAAATAAACCATTATATTTGTCCGCTGTCGTACAGGATTATTTATCCGAATTTGTCATAATTGGATATTATTTTTGAAACTCACAAATAATATTTACATGTGTATATATAATGTCTTTGTGGTTACTGCTTATTTGTCAAGTATTTATTAAAAAAATCGGAATTAAATTCCTGGTCGAACTTAACAAATTTTGTTAGAAATCAAACTTTCGGTCTAAAATGCAAATATTAAAATCAAAGTTGATGTACCGAAATTGTTCACACATTTTAAATAAGGCGCTGAGTAGAGAATCTGCATTTTCAGTTCAAACTTTTATGTCCTCTTCACACTTTCAAACGGAACGTCTGACTTTCGTCATTTTAACGCGAATATTTACACAGTCAACGAATGTTCGAGAGCCAACCGTCAAAAGCAAAAATAAAATTAGTTTGGCTATCAGGGTGCACTGATATTCACCAGGTTATTATCCGCGGCCACCTTGTAGCCACACTAGGGAGAGCAAATACCGGCACAGATAGGTATTGACTCTTTACAATTCACATGTATAATTATACATATGGATAATACATATGGCGTACGATCCTAAAATAGTAACTGTCTTTCGGTTACTAAATTTGGCAAGAATACCGCTGGAAGGGTCTTCGCACTTAGTTAACGGAACGCGCGAATAATAACTTTGTGTAACAAGTGTTTCGATTTTCGCGCAGAAAACTGATGCGCGTCACACGCGCGCTAATCGGCAATTATGATAAGCACGTGTACAAACATGGCCTCTAAAATGTGAACATTCCTGTAGACCCCTATTTGATACATTTGACCGGAAGTTTACATTAATCACTAGGAAGTTATTCTCTACTCAGCTTCTTGATCTTTGCTGTATTGTTCGGTGGTTTGCTTTTACAAGTTAAGCAATAACTAAGCCTAAACAGTTGAACTGACCGAGTATTTTTCAAGGAAATTAGATTATAGAATGGGGAAGCGAAAGGGTATTGTTAATCCTCATCTACGAATAAGGACTCCTTACACTAGATTCGCTAGTGACTTTTGGGCCTGCTACAAGGTTAGTTCAATCAATTGTAGAACTTACATTTTAAAACTAAATTGTCTCCTGAACATGGTTGGTTCAACTCTTCAACTGATGAAGTCACTAATACTCGATTTAACTCTTGACATATCTGTTCAGGCTTACGGACATCACAAGGCTGTAATTTCGAAACCTCGGTTTGACCGAACAGAGAGGAAGATTCTGTTCGAGTTTTTTGAAGATATCAAAGCGAAACACAACACTGGATTAATATTAAGAGACAGTAACCTAGCAGTCTGCAGTCCTTCCGCTCGGAGTGCTCTATTTGACTTCTGTAAAGATACAAAACCAGTTCCTGTATCCGACTCTACAGTTCACAACCCAGCTCCGTCTGTGTCACAGGCAGTGAGTCCAGATATTGGCTTCAAGAGTCCCAGAACTGATAACAGCCCCTGTAACACTACTAAACTGACTCTCACAGCTCCTACTTGTGCACCACTGGAACCCCTTAATCTACATCCTCTCCCTGTTCACCAGATAGATGATGAGGTGGACATTTTACCTGATCCTGATCAGAATGTTCCTTCTTCCGGCCAGGTATTTATATTTTAATTCAAAGTCACAAGTTATGTAATTATACGTACGACGGTTTTTAGCACGATAGACAGTTAAACAATATAGGGACTGACAAATCAGCTAGGTTGTCCATTTATTACCTAAATTATTCAATTTCGCTAGATACATTTGTAATTGTACACGGTTGTCCGTCAAATTCAACAATTGTTTAGTAATCCTGGTCCAACGAAAATGAAAGACATATTTTTCTTTTGTCAAAAATGATAAATCAGAATAATATATTATGCTACAAGCTTTATTAGGTGTGTATTTTTCTTCATCTCCTATTCGTCCTGATTTTCACAACCGTTCACCATGAGAACGAATGTACCTCGCGGTTTTGGATGTTTTTTGTTACTACCAACCTCCCTGACATTACGGGACACATGACTGACATGAGGCAGTGTTCCGTAGTACACCAGATATGATCCCTGTTCATCACAGCTTACATTAGCAACGCTCACACTCCCAATGATAACGTGCTTCGGTTTGGGAAGTCTCTTATCGTCCTTGTCGTCAGCTCTGGGGCGTCTCTTATCATCTTTGCCGTGAGATCTAAGACGTCTCTCTTCAATTTCATCCTTCTCACTAGTTTTGGAACGTCTCTTATTTACCAACCTTTAGGTCACACTTAAACAGCAGTTTAAGGATGAGGTCGCACTTAAAAAGGAGTTTAAGTGGCAACTCTACAAATGGTATTCACGAAATTCTCTTTTAAGTGTCACCCTTAATTTTTAAGTGTCACACTTAAAATCCCTCAAAATTGGTATTTACCAAATTGAGTCATACTTATTAACCTTGTCTTCAGGTTTGGGACGTTTCTCACTAATCATTTGCATGATATCTTCCTCAGACAGTGTCTTCAAAGAGATATCAAAATCTGTTACCTTGAGCTCTGGACCCTCCTCTCCCTTCTCTACTTTATACAGATGCACCTCAGATTCTATGAGAGGTTTCATTCCGATCACTCTGAACTTGAAGTCATAGGGCTCGCTCTGATTGGCTCTGTGGAGGTTTCTTACAAAGATTGCTGGTACTTGATGCGGAGATTTTGGTTTTATGTCGTTTCCATCACGCTGGGCGGGCCCGGCGGTGGCAAGTGCAAACAAGGCAAACACAAGAAAGTATTTCATCTTGGAGTTGAGTCGAGCAGTTTGGTGATTTATCCTAGAATCATGAGGCAGGATCAAATGAAAAGTCAGAATGAAATTAATAACGTTTATGAATTGATAGAAACTCATCTTTCAAAATTTGCTCCTTCATAAAAAAATTTTTTGCTCCTTCATAAAAAATTATTTTTTACAATCCAAACATTATTTTTGAATCACCCTGTATAACTTTATACCACCTTCAGTTTCTCTGTTTGAAAGGGTTTATTGTTTAGGGGCGTAAACAATAAACCCTTTCAAACATTTCACACCAATCATTTGTTGAATATTTAACAGTTGATCGACACTGAATGGTAAAAAGCGAAAACATATTTGAGAACAGATGTTTCATGTTACTTTACATTTACATTCCAGAAGCAACTAAGATCAAGACCGCGGTATGCTTTAAAAAAATCCTATATAGTCGATGGTGCTGTAGATGTGTCGAGTAAGCATTATATGTAAACTTTATAAAGGGTTTATTGTTTAGGGGCGTAGTCCTACAGACGATTTCACGCCAATCATTTGTTGAAAGGCTAATTCGAGAATCTGTTAGTTCTCCTTTTGATTTACTCATAATCTGTTATCCACCTGTGTGAAACCTCCCACTTCTGGTCAGTGTTAAAAATGTCACCTAACTTTGTCTTAACTTATTTTTTGTGAGGAGACACAGAAAAACATTTTTTATCATACGTGCAACAAATTACTCAAAAGTTGAAGCCATAGCTAAAGATTAGAAAGCTTCTCCCAAGAAACAAATGATGAGGCGTTACTTTCTGGGAAATATCTGACCGAGTTGTGGTAGTCGGACTGTGGATACAACCATTGGGTTTACTAAACATACTGACATTTTATCCTGAAAACAACCCCCCAATAATATTCAAACTCTACTGCTGAGACTTTACAAAAACTATTCATATTAGCGAGTCCAAGAGAAATGCCATTATCGGACGTTAGAAGAGTGAGGACTCCTCAAACTACATTAAATACATTCCTTCTGTAACGTCCTCAATAAATGTAATAAATGAGTAATGTTGTAATTAGTTTAAATAAATATTTTCTTCGCAGACGGTTGATGTCAGGACCTCACCAGGCTCCTACACCAGAGAGCGCCAGGGAAGGATAATCGGTTTTATGAGCAAAATTATCAGTGAGAAATGGGCTTCCTGCGATAGTGACCTGAAGGAAGTAAGTTTGGTCCTGTGATTTGAATTTTTAGTGGTATAAACGTCAAAAAGTATAAGAAATATTTAAAGAATGTACTATAAAATCGAGTGGAATTTGTTAAATAAAATGTTAATATTTTTAAACTGACCGGTACCAGGTACCATATAAACATCTAGTTGTGTACGATCATGTGACCAGATCACGTGACACGATCATGTGACCAGGTGAGTTAACGCTGTAAGCACCCATCCTGTATGCATCTGCCATATTATCTCTTGCGGTTGCTGTGCACTAATATGTAATGCTTGTGGGGAATTTGCTGTGTAGCATGCCTGTTGATTCTCCGTAACTCCTTGATTCGTGATTATCAGCGATTATCAGTGATTTTCTACGAAAACTTGTCATAAATTTGAATATTATTAAATTGATGATCCATATCTTTCCTGAGTCCTGACACGCGATGGGGTTTTAATAAATGTAATTGATCAAGATCAAATGTCGGAACAGAAGCCGATTCTTTTTTCAGTAATCCTATCGACAAAATGATTAAATGGAATGAGGCATATTATCGAAATAAAATGTAGCATTAGCCCGATCCACAAGGAAACTTAAAACGAAAACATTCTAAACTTGCCAATCACCCAGGAGTACAGAAGACAGACAGCTGAAGAGAAGTCCACATTCCTAGAGACAATGATAGCAGTACATCTGAGACATGGCTTCCCTCTTCCTCCTGTAAGGATAGAAGAGAGTCGCTGTATGAATATGCTATTCAAGAGTCTCTACAAGGTAGGGATTTTTCTAATTTCTAATGGTAACTTAAGGTAACTGAGAAACTATATGATAACGAGGTTAAATAATTATAAAAACATCTACGTTCATCTGGTTCAGTTTATGTGCTTCTTAAATTTTCGAGTACTTCTATTAGTATTACAAATACTTGAATTAATATTCCCTACATTGGCAGTGGTACAAGCAGAACCAGTTTATCCTGGACCTGGGATATCCTGGCAGGGTGGGGTCAGACCCCGTCATAGCTACTCTACGGAACAAGTGTTCTAAATTCATGAAGAAGGAAACGGAACAATTCAAACAAATGTTTGCCTCAAAAACTGTTGTAAGTACTTTCAAAACTATTGTTAGTATTTTTCAAAATTTTTGTAAGTATTTTCAAAACTGTATCAATTATTACTCCTTTCAGTTGTGACAATTTATGAGAAAGTAACAATTTGTAATCATATTTAAAACATGAAGATTGAGGATTGCCTAAAGTTAATTTAATCAATTTTTGACGATTCTAATCGATAACCGGAACCATTTCTTTCAGATAAACCTTGACATGACGAGTGATCTTGTTGATCACGTTGATAAAGATATAATGAAGTACGCAGACAACTTCATCTCCACGCCCGGTACCATCTCAACTCCTCACAGCCCACAATTTGTGCAATCTGACCAGCTGTCAAGTGGTTGTAGCAGTCTAGATGGTGCAGTGACGAGCTCAACTCCTGAAAAATCAGCTCCGGAATGTGAACCCAGTACAACTGTTATAAAGATTCCGAGTGGTTGTCAGGGGCAACAGGGGAACAGAACCTATCATACCATCCAGCCCTGTTACACATCCTCCCCTAAACCTGTGAATTTGTAAGTTTTGCCGGTTTTATAAATAAAATCATTTATTGACATGACATAGTTCTAAAAGATGAAAATTGCACGATGACTGTGCCTTTTTCATGTGGGTTGAACCAGCTTGTAATTGTTATTGATAGTAACTGCATGTTCCCAGAAGTCCTGGTTCTGGTAACAGTCTCCACCCCTTGTCCCCACCACTCACCCCAGTATTGGCTGCTAAGCTGTCAGCTCCCAACTTTGTCCGACCTCCCCCTCCTCCACAACCTCCGTCCATGTTGTACTCTCTCTACGGTCAGTCTTCTTAATTTATGTTTACATTAGAAAAACTGGTTTGGTTTCCGTACAGATGAATCACATGTTTATGATCTTTATTTTTGTATGGGTCTGTAAACATTTTTAAAGCATATTCTTATAGAATAATATAATATAAAAATGCAAGGGGGGGGGGGTGGGGGGGGGGGCCAATGGCATAAATGGAGAAAATGGAGAATTACTCATAGGTTTTTCCATTTTCTCCATAGAAATAGTCTCCATTTTATGCCATTTTATGCCATTTTATGCCATTGAAAACCTGAAAAATTTAAAATTTCGAGAAAAAGTATTTTAAAAAAAAATATTTTCGGCTAATAATGAAGAGGGTAGCATGAAACGTGGAGAAAAGTGGTTTTTAGAAAAACTTTGAAAAATTTTGACTGAGAAAATTTTCGGCCCAAGTCATTCTCGATACGTACCTCTCGTATCGAGAGCTCCCGATTCCGAGCTCGTGTTGCAAAGGGGAGGCCTGCCTTCCGAGATCGCATTACTTCGAGTCCAAAATTGTGTATCTAGGGGAAGGTGTGGACTTCGAAAAACCGAAAAAATATTTTCGGCAAATAATGAACAGAGTAGCATGAAACGTGGAGAAAAGCGGTTTTCAGAAAAAATTTGAAAAATGTTGACCGAAAAAATATTTTCGGCTTAAAATGAACAAGGTAGCATGAAACGTGGAGAAAAGTGTTTTTCAGAAAAACTTTGAAAAATTTTGACTTAGAAAATTACCCCTCGGTACACAATTTTGGACTCGAGGATTCCCCCTGGTAATGCGATCTCGGAAAGCAGGCCTCCCCTTTGCAGTGCGAGCTTGTTTCGACTGTCGAGGATGTAGGTCTCACTTCTCAGTGCCTATTACTCTCCCCTATTACTCACTCCTGCTGTAGCCTGTAGAAATAACTTTACATTAGGCTTGAGTAATTATGAGTTTGCCTGAAGTGTGCCTCTACTAACTTAGTATAAGCATCTAGTAGCCTACTATGAGCTTTCATAAGCTTCTTACGCCCCTAGTAAGCGTAAATAAACATGTTAGGATGTCCAATTTAGGTGTTAAATGGTGTTAAAGATGAAATTTCGAAGACAAAATTCATGGCATAAAATGGAGAAAATGGAGAATTACTCATGGGTTTTTCCATTTTCTCCATAGAAAAAGTCTCCATTTTATGCCATTTTATGCCATTTTATGCCATTGGCCCCCCCCCCCCCCCCCCCCCCCCCAATGCAAGAATCTTTGTATTCCATCATAGAAACACAATATTCCGGTATTTCCCAAAATATCCATTTCTACATTTGAGATCCACAACAAAACGTTTTTCATCCATTACAGGGATGGGGCAGGTCAGTGAGGATAACAACACAGCTGATAAACCGAGCAGGAGTAGCTGGGGTGACAACACTACCCCAGCAGTAACCCATGTTCCTCTCGGCAGCTTGTACGCTCTCCCTCCTCGTATCCTATACCCTGGCTACCAGGTAATTTAACCAAGCCCTCCTCGTATCCTATATCCTGGCTACCAGGTAATTTAACCAAGCCCTCCTCGTATCCTATACCCTGGCTACCAGGTAATTTAACCAAGCCCACTTGGATTTAGTTCATTCCTGTGATGAATTATTTAGTATCGCTAGCTCGGAGGGATGTGTTCTCATAGCTGGACGTGCATTTAACCCCAAACATAACGCATCCTTAGTTTCAGTGGTCGACTGAATTGCCGAGTCTGACCCCTTACCCACTCTCAACACCTGCTCTCCAGCCACCCGACATATACCTCCAACCACCGGCCCCTCTCAGTCCCTCCACCGCTCAGGGCTCACCGGTACAGGGACACGACATGTATTTCTCTCAACCGTCAAGTTATTTTAACAACGGTAACTTTTAGATCACTTGTAAGAATTTGGTAGAACTTTCCGGAATTACCCTCGTGATAATTTGCATTCTAGAGTAAGTTTTTTAGAGGGGTCGAATTTGTTGTTGGACCACTTCTGATTAGATTCATTTGGTTTTATGCGTCATTAATTTGTATCCCCTCATGACTTGTTAAGTTAGGAATCTTTTAATTTATTTAGGCAATTTTTTGACTTTAGTCTCCTAATTTTATATCATTTTATAATATCTTCGATATTTTATCAAATTTTTAGCTATTGTTTTTGTCGGTGGTCGACCGGTTTGTTTGTGATTTCATATAGATGTAGATTGACGATTTGCTTACTCTTTTAGCATTGTTAACGAAAGTTTATAGTTTAGTGATCATTTTCATGTATCATGAGGGATAGTTGTTTTATCTTTCGATATAGAAACGTATATGCTGAAATCGATCATATTATGAGAAATTCCATTTTCAATTGTTTTTGACTAATGACCGAATTAAATGTAATTTTTAGCACCTTATTTTTGGTTTTTAGAGATTTGATTTATTGATCAGATTTTTTATACTTTTATAGATTTTTTATTCTCGATTTTTTAATCATGATATGTTAATAATAAGTTCTATAATGGATTTGCTTATTATTATATCGAAATTCTAGCTCATTCTTAATTCGAATGACAGTTTACGTTTGTTAAACTAATACTTTCTAATAGATTGAAGCTCTGTGATTTATTCGTTTTCAGTTAATACACCGAAGTTCTCAAATTTTCCACATCAGTCAAATTTTGTATACCTTCAAAAATCTCTTTTTTAAACATAGCAATTAAAATGGACTTCAAAACATCGCAAGTAAAAATGGACTTCAAAACACCGTATACCTTTTCATTACGTGGTAATAATCTAAAAACCACCTATCAAAAACAAACAAGAAATAAGCAAACTGTGTTAAACTAGTTTCTAATCTCAACATCTCCAATAGCACCCCCAGTATGTCCCAGAAGAGAGCCCCCGATAGGCCGGGGCCAGGAAGTAAGAGGGGTAGAGCAGACCCTGAGGGGCTGGGAGAGGGAGCCCTAGTCCCCGGCGGGATCATGAAGATTGAGCTTCAGAACTTTATGTGCCACACATTTTTTGAGGTCGAGTTTTGTTCCACCGTCAACTTTGTCGTCGGAAGAAATGGAAGTAAGTTTATCTTGTAGTGCAGTTTGGTTTTGTTGTATTTTTAAGTAAGCACTGTAATTTCAATATTTGTTCATGAATTAAATTGCTCGAATTGAGATTTTCGCTCTGAGTACTGATAACAAGGAACACCATGTTCCATTAGCTAATTAATTAATTAATTAGCTAGTCAATCATCCCATTACCACCAGGCGGTAAATCAGCTATCTTGATGGCGCTTGTCATTGGACTTGGCGGAAAAAGTTCCGCTACAAACCGAGCTCCAAACATGACAGAGTTCATCAAGCAAGGTTCGAGTTGGGGCCAAGTTACCATCACAATCTGCAACTCTAATCATAATCACGATGCTTGGGAAGTTGAGGTGAGTGCAGTTTTTGTGTTATTTATTATTGAGGGGAAATGAAAATTGGACAGTTGTTCATGTTTTAAAAAATTAGTATCACGGCGCGGTGTATTACTTTCACTTAGTAGTTAGTCCCATTTTTGTTGAATTGTAAGTTAAATTGTGAAATGTCCAGCTATATGGATCTGCCGTGCTGGTGGAGAGGAAAATAACGAAGCAGGGCAGTAAGTACAAACTGAAGAACTTTGAAGGGAAGACCATATCAACAAAGAAGAACGATTTAACGCTTCTTCTCGACCATTACAACATCCAGGTAAATGAAGTACCTTACTCGGGATTATTATGACCGGGATAAAGTGGTGGGTTTAGGGTAATTTCGCCATATTTTTCCCGAACCACATTTTCACCGGTCGTTAATAAACCCGCCTACTCAGCTTTTAGGGTTCCCAAGGGGTATGGGTGCTCATATTTTAATCGTTGTCTTATATTCACTAAAGAAGACTATTGGGACACTTGTTGTAGGTTTTTCGACTTCATTTGGCTAAAATTGCAAAAAATTCACCTTTTTGCCCAATTCTTGTCATATATCCTTATTGTCAAATTTGATTTAAATAGGCCAATTTTTAATTTCTTAGGTATTGACTATCTCTACATAATGAAATAGGACTCAAAGTAAAAGTAACAGTTAAATTAAAACTTGAATTAATTAAAACTGATGAAAGGGATGATCCAGATGAAGATAACGAAGATGATTACAACTTATTGGAAGACTAAACAGCTCTCCCTTTATCTTAATATCGATCTGGTTGTTACGCTTCAAATGTTAAAAATTATTTTCCATCTAGTTTGATTAACCACGAGTCATTATTTCTGTCTACTTTCAACAATTATTGATAATTCGACTTGTTTCACAAGTTTTAGCAATGCGAAAATTTCTAAACTTGTTTATCTCTAATAAGGAAATTTACATCTGAGACAAAATTTTTGAATCTAAAATTGAAAGGTTGGACACCGGTAAAATGGCGACCGGGAAAATGTGGTGGGTTTTGAGCAATTTCGCCATATTTTTCCCGAACCATATTTTAACCGGTCGTTAATAAACCCGTCGTAATAATCCCGAGTAAGGTATTGAACTATTACCTTACTCGGGATTATTACGACGGGTTTATTAACGACCGGTTAAAATATGGTTCGGGAAAAATATGGCGAAATTGCTCAAAACCCACCACATTTTCCCGGTCGCCATTTTACCGGTGTCCAACCTTTCAATTTTAGATTCAAAAATTTTGTCTCAGATGTAAATTTCCTTATTAGAGATAAACAAGTTTAGAAATTTTCGCATTGCTAAAACTTGTGAAACAAGTCGAATTATCAATAATTGTTGAAAGTAGACAGAAATAATGACTCGTGGTTAATCAAACTAGATGGAAAATAATTTTTAACATTTGAAGCGTAACAACCAGATCGATATTAAGATAAAGGGAGAGCTGTTTAGTCTTCCAATAAGTTGTAATCATCTTCGTTATCTTCATCTGGATCATCCCTTTCATCAGTTTTAATTAATTCAAGTTTTAATTTAACTGTTACTTTTACTTTGAGTCCTATTTCATTATGTAGAGATAGTCAATACCTAAGAAATTAAAAATTGGCCTATTTAAATCAAATTTGACAATAAGGATATATGACAAGAATTGGGCAAAAAGGTGAATTTTTTGCAATTTTAGCCAAATGAAGTCGAAAAACCTACAACAAGTGTCCCAATAGTCTTCTTTAGTGAATATAAGACAACGATTAAAATATGAGCACCCATACCCCTTGGGAACCCTAAAAGCTGAGTAGGCGGGTTTATTAACGACCGGTGAAAATGTGGTTCGGGAAAAATATGGCGAAATTACCCTAAACCCACCACTTTATCCCGGTCATAATAATCCCGAGTAAGGTATTCAATTATTAAACTGGATTTGTACCAAAATAAGTTTCCTTTGTCTGAGATCTATATTATTATGTTTTAGAGGAACAAGAACTAAAGTGAAAGACAGCTTCATTTCCAAAAAAAATGTTAGAGTCAATTATATGTGGTCAATAGCAACATTTAAGGTTACTTACTCCTTCATTAAACTTCATGAGGCGAACTCTAATTCCTCAAACTCTGTGATCACTCCCTCGAATGCCATTATTCAGTCACAAAACCAATACTTATAATCCTTATGAGCATGTCATGCAGCTAGTAAACCCCCTCTTTAATCTCAGCTCACCACTTAACCAATTAACCAATTAACAATTAACTCCCCAACTCAGGTGAACAACCCAGTGAGCATCCTGAACCAGGAAATGAGCAAGAAGTTCCTGGCTAGTACCGACCCCGGCTCTAAATACAACTTCTTCATGAAGAGCACGCACCTCGAGCAGATGATTCTTGATTATCAGGTACACGCTATAGAGTCTAGCTTCGTTATGTTGTTTTATTGATTTAACTTTATTCAGTGTTTAAGGTATTTGCAACATTCTGGCCCCAGGAAATAAGTCGTGTTACATACCATAATAAAATGATTACCTTAACGACAAATTTAGTCTACCATAAATTTAGTCAAACTTTTGACTTAAATTGTTGTAAACCAAATTTCACGTGACTAAATTTTTCGGCGACTAATTTTGAAGTAGACCAAAATTTTAATAGAGCATCTATGAATTAAATTTTATTGAGCTTACATTCTTTGACTTTATCATATTATGTTTATGATAAACAGTTAATTAAATATCGCTAACTGTACACAGGTCCCTACTGCGTGTAATAAGAAATTGTATGCTATGGCCTATGATATGTAACTAATGCAATGTATGTAATGTTGGCCTTTCGTTGGAATGTTCCCAGATCGAGAATATTCCTCCTTACCAAAATACGGGCGTATGGTGTAATATATAAGTTACAGGATCACGAGGTTGATAATTTGTCCACGTGACCGTTTGGCGCGCGGTGTGCACGTGGGCCATGGGAAATTTCTAATACATGTGTTCCATTGTCTGTACTTAGTTCACTATAAAGTAAGACTTTATATGCGAAATTGAAAAAAAAACTAGCTTAATGATGGAAAAATCAAATAAATGGAATAGAACATGGTCTCGAAAAGTCTAAAAATTCGACTAAAATTGTTGTAGACTAAAAATTTGCGAAATTTGTGCCCAAAATTATGGAAAACCAAAATTATAGTAACAAAATTTATTGTGACCCAAATTTTTTGGCCCTAAGGTACTCAATTATGATATAGAATGAACTTCAACGATACGTAGTCCAAAGATATTTCCACACTGTTAATCTGAAATTACTCTTAAATCTCAAGATGGAGTATTGAGGTTTCTGAAACAGATATTAAAAAGGATAGTATTAAAAATAAGTGAACTCCTTAATTTTCCAATTAAAGGGCCGCATTAAATGGGCGTACATGAAAGATAAAATAGTGGAAAGTTTCTCAGCTTAACGAACAGATCGTACATTGCAATTAACAGTGCAATTAATTATATAAAATACAACAATTCTATACTTATTATACCCGGATTCTGATGAGGAGGTGGCGGCTATCTCTTTATCTTAGCTGGTATGTTATTAACAGCGTGAATGGAGAAAATTCAGTGATAACTGGTCATGCAAAGACAAAGTATAACTCCCAATTATTTCATGTCTTTGATGAACAGTATCAAATATCAAAGGATCAATCATGGTTTATTAATCTCACTTACCTATTTTTTCACATTTAGGAATCTGGTAGTAGGCGAAGGTAGATCCTGAAGAATTATCGTTATCGTTATTTCGTTATACTGCAATAATAATAATAATTTTAAATTATGTAAATCATGTAAATTATATAGATTATGTAACTAAACAGATAAGCAAGTGTTGTACTAACCGTGGACACAAGTCAGGGTTTTGTCCCCGGACACCACGGCAAATCTATGAGATCTGCCACATTCCACCGTAAGAACTGTTCCTGTTAATACTGGTAACCACGGTGATAGATCCAACATTCCCGGGAAATCAGAACTGACGAAGTTGTCGCATTCTGAGAAGGAAAGGTCATTTTCATAACTTCGTAGTCAGCTCTACCAGCGGCCATTGAAGCACACTTGACGGAGGATATGAGGTTTAAAAATAAATACTCCATTCACTTTGTCAAGCTCAGGGCCACATAGAATGTTATGGATACTATCAGGTAACCAGTAGTACTAAACACGATAAATACACTGAAGCAAGTAAAGGGCTTCTTAATTATTTGATAATTAGAAAAACAGTACCTCTACTCTGAACTGCTATTTCATAGACCGCTATGTTTCCAGTACTCTTACTGAGTTTTACAGTATCTCCTTCAGTGTTACAGATCAGTGTGTAGATCTGGTCTGCCTGCTCTAGTGCGTATGTTAGTTGGAGTGTTCCACAAGACTTCTGTTTTACCCCTCCCTGGTATACTGACACATCCACGTTGTTATCGCTGTTGACACAGTCCCTAAATTTAATTGCAGTTTGTGCACACCAATGCTCTGGATCATACCAGTTAGTGTAGAACATGTAGTAGATAAGGACCTTGTGGATAAAGTAGGTCCTATCAAACTCTAACTTTATCCAGACTGCACCGTTATCTGCGTTATCTGCGCTACCTACAGTTACTGCTACTGTTGAGAGATCCTTATCAATTGCATGTTCAGCAGCAAAACTCAACCTTTCCTCGTCATTTAGATAAGCGGATCCTTTTGTTATTTTTGTTGGAGTTATCTCTGCTATCTTCTGATCACGAACTGAAATAAATAAATTTATAACTTTATTTATGACATCCTATTATTAATATGCTAGATTTACAGACTATGTTAGACCAGACAATGATTCCTGACTAGCATGCGCTCTTCTGTTCATATCATATCTAATTAGAAGCTGTTGTGCATTATGTGCATTATATTTCCCCTACCTTTAGAAGGTTGTGCGTGAGCTGTACTTGTAAACCAAATGAACAGTGTTAACAGTATCACTGGCTTCATCACGTGACAGTCACGCGTTGTCATCTACTATCGGAGTCGTATAATCACTAAGAATGAGAAAAATATCAGACCTTCACGCAGTTATTTCTGTGTGATGTTGTACACAATTGACACAAAATGACAAACTGGTAATATTTTGTGAAATCAAGAAAAATCCCAGCACCTAACACGACGGTGGGTATAAAGAACAAAGTTAATTTTTAGAACAATGTAATTTAAGACACGGGAGCAGCAAGCACAATTAGACCTCTGGCTGGCTTTACCCACCATGTAATAATGGCATTACTTCGCCTGACAGCCTTGCTATGGCTCTCTTATAGCTTTGGCAGGTTAAACTTATATTATATACTTAATGTACTTCGCGATAATCATTATCGCATGCTTATTGGAAATATATCGGGTAATGTTGAACATTGGAGCTGGTGTTGGGATAATAACATTATAACTCTGTGCCGGTGTGACACCGTTGGGTGGCAAACTACTCGGCTTGGTTAAAGTATGGGTCTTGTATGCGGTGCGTAATTACTCTAGAAGAAGTGACCCATTGGTCAAAGCCTTGTGAACAATGAGCAGACTGTTAGTCAGAGTGAGTAACGGGCAGTGCAACCTACTGTGCCTCTTAAAATACGCGTTAATCCAGGGCCAGGAGACTCAAACTCAGAGGAACTTTACTTTTAATGTTTTATTGATTAACTAGGTCGAATTGAGATGAGCAATTTGAGGCGTCTAACTGTGGTAGAAGTTTTTGACATCAATGGTAGCCGGGGGAGGTGCACTTGATTTATTCAGAATATCTGTCCAATAGAACCCATTCACTGAGTCACGTGACTTGATTCCATGTCCGTTATTGGTTGAGTACTATGCTCCATACAGATATTAGCAAGGTTTTGTGCGTTAACATGGCATTTAAATAGACCTACACAAAGAGAACTGAACACTAGGAACAGCCCACCATTTTATAGTGAACAATGAGCAGACTGTTAGTCAGACTGAGTAACGGGCAGTGCATCATACTGTGCCTCTTAAAATACACGATACTCTAGGGCCAGGGGAGTCTAACTTAGAGGGACTTTACTTTTAATGTTTTATTGATTAACTAGGTCGAATTGAAATAAGCAATTTGAGGCGTCTAACTGTGGTAGAAGTTTTTGACATCAATGGTAGCCGGGGCCGGGGAGGTGCACTTGATTTATTCAGAATATCTGTCCAATAGAACCCATTCACTGAGTCACGTGACTTGATTCCATGTCCGTTATTGGTCCTTAGAAGGCTGAGTACTATGCTCCATATAGATAGTAGCAAGGTTTTGTGCGTTAACATGGCATTTAAATAGACCTGCACAGAGAGAATTGAACACTAAGAACAGCCCACCATTTTATAGTGAAATTGGATTGAACTTACTACTATACTGTCTAGCTACACTTTTTTACACCATACATAAAAAAAGGCAAAAGTGTAGTGTAAAAAGGTGTAGTGTAAAATAGCCTAAAAAACCTTAAAAGTGTGAAAAAGTACCTGGAAATATACTATGTGAAGACTGATTGGAAAATAATACGAAAAAAGAAGATTTTTAGAGGTACCATGCAACTCCCAATTTTCCAAAAGTCCATGTGCATGCATAATGATAAATATGAGTAACCGTATATATCAACAGTTCAGTGTAGGTCTGGGGTTTTGGCTGCCGGACTAACTGTCTTCATGCCTTATCTCAAGCGAGCTCAGAGTTGGGATAAAATCAAAACGCACATTTCAAGAATTCACTGCATTTTGCGTACCAAACGTAGAGATTGCTCTGCCTCTAGAAGACAAAAGTAAAACCCAAAATTCAGCTCTCACAAGTTTGTGGCGTCGATTTAACCGAGGATAATGTCCGTATTTTTTAAATGGCATAAAGGCCTGTGTTTTTACCACAATAAAGCAGGAACCCTCTGCTCGCAATGCTCATGAGTAATGTTTTGTCGTTGATCTGGATAGCTGCTTCTTTGTGTTACACAGAATCTCACATAAAGGGGTTTTAAGCAGTTAGGTAGCTGACAGATTAAAATCTACCATGAATTCACTGTTCACTGAAAGCATTGACTGGATGCCCCTTAGCAAGGATTTTTTTATTTCAGGAACATATAAAAAAGAAACTTCCGGTTGAATATCCGGCCAAATTCTTGGAAACCGGACCGGAGTCCGGAACTGGACCTGGATATTTAAGCTGGATTCAGCCGGGTACCCGGTCGGTTCCTAGTTCAGTTTCTAATTAACTTTAAGTTCAACTTGGCCGTCACGTATCCGCACTCCGCAGATGAGTCCTGTTGAGGTGTAGCGGGGACTTTACAGCTGGCCTTCAGCGGATCCTTCTTAGTGACTTCCTTCTTCGAGACTTCCTTCTTAGTGACTTCCTTCTTAGTGACTTC